TTTTAAGCCATTTAAATCACTCACAGTCCCTGTTTTATCAGATATAAGACACTCGACTGTCATGTTTTAAATAGTATAAATATGGTTAGGTCTAGACATCTTCGTAAGAATGTTAATACAGACCTGAGGAGGATTCCTGACTAGCAGGCTCTGTTGTCTCTCCATTTGCTTGAGATGACATGTCATACTTCATTGGTCCTTCGTTATGTTTTGATTGATACTCTAAAACTTTTTCATATATCATGGCTGGATAAAACGAAGACATTCAATTACTTACAACATCTGACATTGCCGAGAAGGTGAGGGAAGCAAGATTGAGATTGTATGGACACGGAATTACAAGAGATGAAGGAGAGCCAGTCAGAGACGTTATGGAATGAAGAGATCAGAAGATGTGGGGTGGGAGAAGGTGAGGGAAGCAAGGTTGAGATGGTATGGACACGTAACACGAAGAGATGAAGGAGAAGGCTCTGTAGAAGGCTCTCGAGAGACACTCGTTAGACGCAAACTTACATTTCCAAGCTTCTACAGTGTGTTCCTGTTCGTCAATGGAGTGGTCATATTTTTCTGGGGCCGGCTAGAAATGAGATATATAAATTATAATATTTCTGTATCATACGTTCAGTCAAACCATACTCCTAACATGGATTTTCCAATGAACTCACCCCTAGGACCTCTCCTTTATCATACCATATATGTACATAAGGATGCTGCAAGGCTTGATCCACTGAATATCTTTTGGAAGGATCTACCACCAAGACTTTAGTGAGAAAATCACGAGCGTCTGCAGCTGTAAGGAACAAAGAAGGACATTTTAGACAAAATGGAAACACCGATGGAAAGCTTGAAATAATCATAGTGCTTCCACAAAAAATTAACTAAGCATACTTTTCCTAAGATCCCGCGGAGTATCGTGCGGGAAAAGTTCATCTGGAAAAAGTTCTTCAAATGATTTTCCACGATGTCTCTGTCTGCTCTTGCAGTACATACGAACCTACACAACACAACCGCACGATTTAGTGAGATAACGTTAAAAACACATCCCCACAGCCCAAATGCAGCCCCTAACATCCCACCTGCGGCCCCTGCCATCCCCACAGCCCACCTGCGGCCCCTACCATCCCTACAGTCCACCTGTGGCCCTAACATCCCCACAGCCCACATGTGTTATCTCCAGTGGCAAGCTACCCATGGCAATTTGTCATGCTATACTAATAAATCTGCATCTAAATAGACAGTACATGTACAAGTACAAGATTTGAATAATGCAAATCATTAAATGATTGGCTAGCTTCAATTCTGGTTATCTCTGAATGTATTCGTCCTACCGTAGGTTGTAGTTTTTCAAAAAACACTTCTTCTGGAGTTCCCAGTTGTTCTGTGATTTTATGCCACTGGTCAATATCTGGAGTTGTTTCAGTTAAGAAACAAAATTTGGGGCGTTGGTGTCCCTTGGTGGATGTGTCGTTCATCTCTGTGACTGAGGTTTGATTCCTGCAATATGCAGTTGTCTCATTATAATTTCACCTCAGTCACATGTGAGAAGAATGCTTCCAATTTGACTCTACCAAAGAGTGCAGGTTTTCCTCAAGTACTCCGGGTTTCTCCTATAGTAACACTGGATCAATACGATCCTTACTGGACCTCTTGGAAGAACAGTTTAGAACTGATAGAGCTATCCAGTATAAATAAAGTTAGTTTAGTTTAGGTTTCCTCCTGTAGTAACACTGGATCAATAAGAAATGATCCTTACTGGACCTCTAGGAAGAACATATAGAATTGATAGAGTCATCCAGTATAAATAAAGTTAGTTTAGTTTAGGTTTCCTCCTGTAGTAACACTGGATCAATAAGAAATGATCCTTACTGGACCTCTAGGAAGAACATTTTAGAACTGATAGAGCTATCCAGTATAAATAAAGTTAGTTTAGTTTAGGTTTCCTCCTGTAGTA